AATGCTTGTTAGTATCCCACATCACTCTGTGTTTAGAGAGTCCAATTACACATATAACAGATTCTTTGTGTTACACCATATCACCGCCTGTTTGCCTTTCATTTGTCCTCTCTCTCTCTTTGGTTTTCTATGCATGCTGACACGTCAGACACGCAACCAGGAGCTGGCAGTGGCTCTGGACTCCAGCGCGCTCACAAACACTCAGCTCTCGTCCAAACTCGAGACACTGGTAAGAGTGTGTGCATGATACATGGCTGTGTGTCTGGAACGCCCCATAATGCAGTTCACAAGCATTCAGTAACAGAGTGCAGCACAATGGAGTTTTTGAAGATGCGACATTGATTGCTACTTTGCTACTTTTAACATGCAACATTGTTTCAATTTCTAGTTTTTGAATTGTTTGCCCATGTTCTTGTGCCTCAGACGGTCGTCTTGCATACTAAGTTTAGATTTTAACTTCTACATTTATGCATTTAGAAGATGCTTTTGTCCAGAGTGACTTACAAAAGAGAAACAAAAGCAATTCTTTGATTAGAGGTTCAAGATTGCATACTTTGTGAACTGATAGGATTATTAAACACACATATATAATTAACTTTTATACAGACACCAATGCATGGCCTAGTAAACATTGCTTTACTTGTCTGTTTGAGAGGTCATGCTGTATTGTTTATATACTTCACTTTAAAGCCTTGAGTGCTTTATTGAGTTTACTAAATGGTTAATATTAATACATAACTGTTTATTATTTTCATTCTGTTTATTCGGTTTCGTTATTTTAGTAAGTTTTGGATTGGATTGCACATGTTAAGATTTGATGTTAGTACTTAATAATAATAATATTAGTCAAAGATATATTTTTTCCCCTTCTGAAGGTTTTAAAGAGCATTTTTCAGATTTGCACAATGATTTTTAAAGTCAATAAGATGCATTTTGAATTCGTATTGTCTTTAACGAAGCTCAGGTCCCTGTTTAACATGCTTGTGGGTGTCGGTTTAATGATTTATTACTTGATAAACACACATGAGTTAATTGTTTGTTCATTGTTTTCAGACGAAGCAGTCTCAGGAGCTTTCTGATCAACTACAGAAGGTATAGTAAGCTGCCAGCAGTGTTATTAGATTGCTCATTTATGGTTTATTAATGAGCGTCTTCTCTTATTGTGCATTATGTCTTCTCATCAGGAGCGGAAAGAGTTTGAGCAGAAGTTCACTAAGGAGCAGGGAGCGATGCGTGAACAGCTACAGGTGAACAGATTATGCAGGATTGAAGTCATGTCCTGTTCGCTAATAAATAAGTATGCTGGGAGCATCATCAACACAATATTTGGCCATAATTACATCGAACAGGTCATACAATCTGACTGAACAAATTCACTCACTTCAAACGAATCTGAGTGCTCAGATCTACGGCACTGATTCATTCAGGAACTTGTTGATAATATAGTAAACAACAGATGTTTTATTGACAGCAGAAGTCATTTACCAGTTTTGGCTGTGATTAAGAGGAAATGTATGTGATGATAAAATTCCACCTTACAAATGTAACAGTAAATATGTTAACTGTTGAATGTAATTTAATTGACATTAGCTTAATGTCAGTGCTGTTATATAAACGGAAGGTTTTGTGCGTGTTTACTGATGCATGTCTTCCCCATTCAGGTTCACATTCAGACCATCGGCATCCTGGTGTCTGAGAAATCAGAGCTACAGACGGCTCTGTCTTACACACAGCAGGCAGCGCGACACAAGACAGGTGTGTGTGAGCTTGAGTGTGAGAGAGAGAGAGAGAGAGAGTGTGTGTGTGTGTGTGTGTGAGAGCGCGCGTGTGTAGAGAGAGAGAGAGTGTGTGTGTGTGTGTGTGTGTGAGAGAGAGAGAGAGAGAGTGTGTGTGTGTGTGAGAGCGCGCGTGTGTGCGCGTGTGTGAGAGCGCGCGTGTGTGCGCGTGTGTGAGAGCGCGCGTGTGTGTGAGAGAGCGCGTATGTGTGAGAGAGCGCGTGTGTGTGAGAGAGCGCGTGTGTGTGTGAGAGCGCGCGTGTGTGTGTGAGAGCGCGCGCGTGTGTGTGAGAGCGCGCGTGTGTGTGAGAGCGCGCGTGTGTGTGAGAGAGCGCGTGTGTGTGAGAGAGCGCGTGTG